GGCATAAAGGGCTCGGTTTGAACACTGAAAGTTGCTTTAAAAGGTTAACAGAAATAACCCTCACTGCGATGTCAGGAGAAGCGAGTTAAGTTTATAGGTTCAACAATTCAACAGAAAACTTTATTTGACGTCAATCACCTTGTTATAAGAACCGAGCGTACAATAATATATAAATTGTAACTTAGCCGCGCACTTGAAGTTAAAGTACTCTTTAGCTGCATGCTGTTACCTCAATGTATTTTTCCAACCAACACGAGAGCCAGTTGTGTTAGCACGTTAGCTTAAGGTTCTTTAGCCCAAGGGTGGCAAAGTATACGTTTGTCATACACAGGTATTTATACGTTGATAATTATTTCAATATTATTTGTATGTGTTTAATATATTTCACACGAGCACCACTGTACTGGAAGTTAATTTATATATTTAACCGTAGAAGCTAGCATGCTAACTGACTAGCTAATAGCTGCACGCGGCCCTCCCGAGCAGCCTGGATCCACAGCGGTGTTTCTTCGTGAAGCTGTACCGGATCCAGGACGACCTAACCTGAACGCCAACACACTCTATCTCGATGCTGCAAGGCCAAGTCAACATGGTAGCTTAAACAGCACCCCCAACCAGCTCCCGGCCGTAAGAACATGTCTCTTTCATATGGGACTTAAGTCAAATGTATAAATATTCCTGGCTGGTGTATGAAACTTTGGCTGTCTTACCTCTGGTGGCTGTGACAGCTCAGGGTTTGTATGCGTGTTGTTGAGTGGCTCTCTCTCTTCGTTTTCCACAAGATGGCTGAGTCTGGGTCACATGACAATACACATAAACCCGTATGCAGTGGACAGATTTGCTGACTAGTACAAAGTGGTAATGATTCTTCCCCAAATGTGTCACATTCAGAAATAATAATAATAATAATAATAATAATAATAATAATAATAATAATAATAATAATAATAATAATAATAAATGTAAGAAAAACACACATTTTTTTTTAACTAAAAACTAAAAAATATTTACTAAGTCTGGCTGTAAAATTTACATTCCTACCAATTTTAGTGTTCTGTATACAAATATTTAACATTTTATGTAAAACATGTTCATCTTCATATTTCTATTTTTGCTTTGATTCATAGTATCTTAGTGTCTTGTTAAGTTTTTGTTTGTGTTTGTTTTTTACGGTGTTAACTCACCACAATTGTGTTTCCCCAGTTTTTCCCTCATCCATAATAGATCAATTTATTTATTTTACATGTTTGATTGATTTTTTTTTAACTTCTAAAAATATGTATACAAACCAAACAAAAAAGCATGAAAAATATAACAATAAATTCCCCACAATGTGGAAAAAATTTAATGTTCGATGAAAGTTTAAGCACAAAAAATACAAAGTTCAAACGTGGTTATCTAAATTAAGCATATAAAATTATTTAAAATAAGAAATACGTAATGTCTGATCAGAAGCAGAATTGTATAGGCAATCTTTGAGTACACCATTTACCAGCTATTAGAAGTGTTATTAGTGCTTCTATAATAAAAACTAAAGCTAATTATTTCCTGGTAGTTTCACTTTCTTATAGTTTATTATTAGTTTACCACCCATGTGATAGCTTGTTAAATAGGGCTCTCTGGACGTGTAACTCACCTTACAGGTTATACCAGGAGAGCCCCTACTGTTGATGCAAATTGTGTAAGACAGGTGTTAGCAGGCTCGGGTGGGGCAGAAGCAGCTGGACGGTTGGATCTCATTACAGGGTTACTTTATAGAGTAAAAACAGCACGTATTTTGGTACGTGAATTTGCTTTCTTTTTTCTGATAGTATAAAGTGAAGCTCCAAGCACGAAAAGTCACGTTATCACAAGTTACAAGTTATCACAGCCGAGACTTCTAATTTTCCGATTTTCTTGGTAATTCAACACGTTTTGTTCAATGTTGTAAGCTATTTTAAAGAGTTTTCTAATTATCTGTGAGGCGAGTTCCTTACATGTAGCTTTGTTTTCTATGAATTTAGATTTGATTAAACTTAATAATCTACGTCTTCCCTTTTACGGACTGTTATAACCGAATAGTGAAACAGAGACCGTAACAGGCAGAAGTATCATGCCTTTCTCATAAAGTATTCTAACATCTGGCATACCAAAAAACATATAACGCAATTCAATCCCTTGTCAAACGTTGTGTTGTGATACTGCGTGACATTACAGCATCTTGGCTCGTTGGTCTAGGGGTATGATTCTCGCTTAGGGTGCGAGAGGTCCCGGGTTCAAATCCCGGACGAGCCCTCTTTTTTTCTTCTCCTTTTTGAAAATTGCTCTTTCTGCACTGTAGACTAGTACTGTCCCCGACGTACGTAAATGCGCTCTCTTTACATAAGTGTTCTTGTTCTGAGCTGTAAGTGGTCTGTTTTTGCGTAAATATACAACAGCAACTTTTTTTTTTCCATTGGCTGATTTTCAGCAGTACGTGTTGTAAATTCTGCATTTGCCATTTTTCCTAGCATTTTATATTTCACATATTTTTATTGTTACCAAGTTTTAAGTGTACATAGCATTGTACTTTGTATATGCTTAATGTTTTACTCCCTGTACTTTGATTCTGTAATAGCTTACAACATTGAACAACTATAGTTGACTTAAAAGAAGCAATTTGCTTTAAAAGACTTGACCCCGACGTGATTTGAACACGCAACCTTCTGATCTGGAGTCAGACGCGCTACCGTTGCGCCACGAGGTCTGTTGAAGAAGTAATGGCATAGCAAATGCTGATATCCTGGTATACGAGATATTAAATGGTTACCTGCATGTCGGACTCAGCGTTCGAGAGATCATCAAAACCCATTGACTTACTGCCAAAGACAGCTATTCTTTTTTTAAAGCACTTTATTTTTAGAAGCAGTTGAGACCCAAATGGAGATATAAGAACGAGATTGGTGGGTCGGATATTTGATTGGCTACCATGGAGCGAATCATATTACACCGCATATATTAGTCGTGTGGTGGAGTACAAGATTTATTCCACGGTTTTGACTTCTCTTTACGTCGATGTGTCGCTCTCTGCCACTCAAAATGCACTTTAGCGGTTATTGAAGGGGGAGAAACAGCGCCCCCGAAATGTCGCTGGCGGCCAAACAGCGCGTTACTTGCTGTACCTAAACTATGAATTGCTTCCTGCTGTAACTGCAGTTCATTAGCCTCCTGTAAAAAACTCTCGGGGCTTTTCAGATAAGCAATCCAGCCCATTAAAATCTCCACCCGAAATTCTTACAGCCCAATTGCATTTATGAGACATTCAGTTTTATAAACATGTTCTCAGTTGGCGACTCATGGCCGGTTAGCTCAGTTGGTTAGAGCGTGGTGCTAATAACGCCAAGGTCGCGGGTTCGATCCCCGTACGGGCCAATAACTTTTCTTTAAGTACAGTGTTACTGTCATGCAAAGTGCTATAAAACAATAGTTGTAGCCTAACCTAACTAAATTTAAGAAGATGTTTTGTGTCTGTTAGCTTTGGAGACTAAAGTTTCCACCAATATTTCTCTGGAAAATAGCTTAGGCTCAGTCAGGATGGTCATTTATTTTCAAGCTTTACCCACTCTCTATGGAGCTAAACCAGTCTCATAATTCACAAATGCACATATCAATATCCACAAATGGATCTTGTACAGTTGTGAGTCTCATCCTTTGCATTTGTGGATCTCCTTCTGTACATCTGTGGATCTCGTACTGTGCATTTGTGGATCTTGTGCATTTGGTAATCTCGATCTGTGCATTTGTGAATTATGAGATTGTTTTAGCTCCATACTCTCCAGCCGCCCCTTGTTTAAAAGTCTAGTTCTGTCCGCCACAACGGAAACCGTTTTTTACACTGCTAACGCTAGAAATACAAGAGAGCAATGTGATTCTCGCAGTATGTGTAATAATCAAGGCAAGTCGACTAGCTAAAACTGAAAAAAAGGAATGAAAACAGCAGTTACAGACATAGTGGCCAGAACGACAGAAGAAAACAGAAAATAAAAATGTGTCAGACAGAAAATACAAAATATATAGAGTGCACATTGTTTAAATTTCTTCAGGCTGCGTGTTAGTGATCCGTGGCGTTGGTGGTATAGTGGTTAGCATAGCTGCCTTCCAAGCAGTTGACCCGGGTTCGATTCCCGGCCAACGCAAACATTTTTGTCTCTGAAAAGGAAGCTATTGATGTGAGCTGTTTCAAATTAGTTTTCCAAATATTATTCATGGATTTTTGAACATGTACAGTTACTTATTTCTGTAACTACACTTGGGTTATTATTCCATAATTGTAATAGGGTAAACCAAATATGTGTTTTCATCATCTAAGAACAGTCTTCGTAAGAAACAGGAAACATATCATAAAACAAATTAATTCCAAGCATTTAATCTGGGACTGAAGTGAAAAGCAAACAAAAAGAAAAAAAAAACATGTTATCTCTGTTTTGTAGCAAGTTTGAATCAAACTGAATTAGGATCTTTGCTGTTCTTAAGTCCTGCAGGACTTCCACCATCTGTTAACTGTGTACTAAATCCTTGTAAGCAAAAGAAGTGAACATGTAAGCTCATTTTTAAAGTGTCACAAATGATAAAGGCCGAGAAGAGAATGAGATGCCATGAGATGCCCGTGTGAGTATTACACACACACATACTTTTTAATATTAGTCACACTAATTTATGACGAATCTTGACATTTGAATGAAGACAGAGAGATTTGACCTGTGGAGGAAATGTGTGGCTGTTTCTCCTCCACAGAGTGCTGTAAGTTAATTTGTTACCCTGTTCAACAAGTGTTAATCCTGCTTACCCTCCTCTTTTTCCTGTGTTGCCATGGATATGCTATTCCTATGGCAACTGCATGCCTTTGTGGATGGCCTCGGGCCCCGCCACAGAGGATTCTGAACCTTTCATTACACATTCCCTTCAAGCTCACAAGCAACTCATAGAAGTCACACATAGGCTCACTCTCTAATTGTTGCCTTTTCTCTTTGCCTCCTGCTCCTCCCTGTGTTTTTCCACAAACGGAGCTCATGATACCGGATGCTCTGGTCGAGGATTGTGATCAGATTTAAGGGAGAATTCCCTGTCATACGAGTCAGGGCTTCTTCAACTGTCCTAATTTCCAGCTGCAATAGAAACCAGATCTCCACTTTAAAGATTCATGAGATCCCTTACGAAACAGAGGACAGTCTAAACCAGGGAAAGTGTTTCTGTGTCAGAGAGAGCGATGCACGAGTATGGGAGTGGCTGTTGGTGGAAGTCAGAGCCTGAGCTGAGGCAGAGTTTGGTTCCCCAGTTATTACCTGGGCTGTAAAAGAGTGTGTGGGTGAGTGTGGCAGGTGGGGGACCTCCACCTGCTGAATGAACCCTGTTAGCATCGGGCAGTACCATGGGCTACGAGTGGGCTCAGCCCTGTTTGCCATTGTTGCCGGCTGCATCATCATCGGGGTGTCCAGGGAATGTGATGCTGATGCTGTAGGAGGAATCTTCCTGGGAGCTGGAGGCCTCGGTGAGAGTCTGTAACTCCGAATGAGAAACACTTTGGTTTGCTTATTTGCTTTTCAGATTATCATTTGCAGATGTTGCAAAGCTATTTAGAAAGTTCTAAATAAGACAAGAGGAGTTTCTAACAACTTTTTTGTAATAGTTGGCTGAACATTTTAAGCTTTGTATCACTTTGATGGTAATTATTTGGTTTGTTTTGAAATGACTGTTTCTACTAAGTAGCCAAACCCAATGGACCTTGCAGTTCCTCACAATAGGATTTCCTTTAAAAAGATAAAAATATGAAAAGTATGGTCTCCTCCTGTATTTAGTAAAAGACTGCAAACTGCAATTTTTTTGGATATGTTTTTACTTGCTTAACACTTTTGAGATGTAGCATTTTTGTTAATTTTTCTTTGCAAAAAAGCCCAACCTTTGTCTGACTGGATGAATCCTGTCAAAGCTTCAGCCATTGAAACATATGAAACTGTCTTTTTTTTTGTTTGTTTGTTTTTTTTGTTTTGTTTTTTAATCTAAACTGTCCATATGCATGGTAATCATATCACTTAAAAGTTAACCTCTACCTCAGTCTTAAATCCTTTGATACCTCTACTTCCAGGATTACCTCATATTTAGCTCCATCCATCCTTCCAAGACACTCCAACACGCTTCCATTTTCCTGTTAAAAAGAACAACAAAAAAACAACAAAACATCTCCACAGCATGATTGTGCCACTAAAAATGTTTTATTGTTAGGTTAGTTTTACTTGTGGACTAGAGTGACTAGAGATTTGAGTTAAACTATTGTCTTATCTGACCAAAATGTTTCCTTTACATACTTGACATGAGTCATTAAAGCCTTCTTATGGATTCTTTCACCAATAGTGTTTTTTTCTTTAAATGTTTAAAGGTGCAATTTTGTTTCATAAACTTTTTTTTTCTTTTCTTTTCCATAATATTATCCCTGATATGTCTGCTGTGTTCTGTCATATTCTTGACGCTTTTGTTCGCTGGTGTTCTCCAAGAACTATCTCCATTTCTCCTTGACAGAACAGCTGTACCTATTCTAAGATTGGATTACGCAGGAGGATTCTTTACATGTACAATGGCAGGACATTAGCTGAATTCACCCGATATATAATATGCATAATGCATTGATGTAAAAGTAAAATGTTAAGGTCTGCGACTAGCGACTTCTTCCATCCAATGTTCATTTGATACAAGACTGTAACCAGAACCAGCTGATAGCCGTAGGAGCTGCTCTGATAAAAGCGTGTCTGGACTGGTTTCCTGGAGAGAAAGAGGAAAGGGCAGCGCTTGTGATCTGTGGAAGACAACATCAGCATGTGTATGCATAGTTAATGAGAAACTCATTCTCGCTGAGGAGTTGATCAGCTTTTAATAATTAATTTGTCTTGCTAACGAGCGGCTACCTGCATTCGCAAATAAAATCTGTGCACCGCAGCGTGACTGATACTTTCACTCTCGCAGGATTTTGTGCGACTGAGCAGCAGACGTCCTTAATTATGTGTTTTTTGGGGCTTGTGTGGCTCGATGCCGCCTCCGACACACAGGCTGACTAATGAGTATGAACAGAGTGTTCTCTGCAGATTGTTTTCCCTCCTTCTGCAGTTTCATGACATTTTAAGCGCAGACATGCATCACAACCACCCTCAGGAGCTGCCAGGCTGTAATGCCAGCTCCTTAGACTAATAAGAAAAATCAATAAAGGTGCTGATTGGGGGCGCAGGACTACAGAAAGTTGCCAAAACCCTGCGATTCAGATGCCACTGTGCACTTTGATCTGAACTAGAAGAAGCATCTCACCTTGTATCGGATGTAAGGATCATACTGGGAAGGCTTACACTTTGATATACAATGAAAAATTCCCAATCATCTGTGTCATAGTGAAATAGACCATCTTCTATTTTTCAGACTTTCTTCTATCTTCCAGGCATCAAAAGCAATTAGGTTACTTCTCAAAGTAAATTAACTAGTCGCAACATGCAAATTATGAAGCAATTTCAGACCATTCATCAAAAACATTATTGCCACTTTCCGCTTTGCAGGCTTGCTCATTTCAATCTATCCCTTCGTAAAAGCTTGGCTGAATATCAACAACATCCTGCCATCTTTTGGTAAGTTTTTTTTTTTTTGAAACCGGACATAGATTGAATTTCTCACTTATTAAAATACACAAAAGTTTTTCTCCATCTAAATATTATTCCACCTTTTATCCTTCTAGGAAACTTCAGAGTTCACCCCACTGTGGCTAACGCTGATCAGCCGGCTGAGACACTGAGACGAGAGGGTGAGTGGAAACGGAGTGGAGGCAGCTGAAACTCCAGGGATCTTAGTTCACCTGCATTTATTATTCATTTTGACATCTGCAAATAGATCGGAAAGCCAATAAGTACATATTTAGAACTTTTTCACATTTTGCCAGGCTACAACTACAAACTTTTATGTACTTTAAGTTTTGCAACAGCAAAAACACAAAATAGGAAATACACATAAAATAGACAGAAAACAATAATTGATTAAAATGTGAAAAATGAGACATGCATTGTTTTACTCCAGGTTCCTAAATGAAATCCAGGGCAATCCACTGCCTTCATAGTTTCCCTAATTAGAGTCAGCCAGTGTTCAATTTAACCTCATAAAAATGCAACTGTTCTACAAAGGCCTCAGGGGTGAAAAAACATAGTTGGGAAGCAAAGAGGTCCGTGGTAACTCTGGAGGAGCTGTAGAGATCCAGTGCGCAACTAGAAGAATCGAGTGGAAACATAAGCATAAGCAAACCTGGCTTTACACTGTAAAATAGAGACGTCTCTAATTTATGGTAAAATGCCAACAGCTGTGGTTGCCAGAATTTTTCAGTATAAATACAGTATTAACCATGTTTATGTGGATTTTACTGTATAAATATGATGAAATCCTTATGTATATGGTAAAATTCTGTGGTTGCCAGAATTTTGTACGTTAAAATTTCTTCAGTAAAATTTGTACGTATTCTGAAAAATAATCCATGGTGCAATTCAGCTACCAAACTCATTACTGCATCGTGCTCTGTCCTCTTTCCTGTGGTCCTCTTAGGCACTCAGAGTCAACTCCAACTGGAGCGCTCAAAGAGTCGAATGGGAACCTTCGTGGAGGGAGGACCAGCTGCTGAGCCCAATCCAGAGGAGGGGTACGAACTGAAAATAGAAATAAGATTAACTAAACTGAATATAAAGTAAACATGCTTGTACTGGCCACTTTATTAGGTACATCTTCCTAATACTCGGTTCCCAGAAAATCGGAAAAATGGTTTTGCCTCCGGTAAATCAGCAGGTTTCGAAATTCTCTCCCAGCAACGTTCAGAGTACCAGTGACTTTGAATGCCACATTCAAAGTCACTAAAATTTCATTTCTTCTTCCTTCTGATGCACAGTTTGAACTTCAGAAAGTTTTCTTCACAACATCTGGATGTTTTAACGCAGCCAGTTGCTCCCGGGCGACTGGCTGATTTGCTATTTTTGCTAACAAGCACTTGGACAGATGTACCTAATAAAATAGCTGTTGAATGTATATAGAGACCTGTTAAAGAAACATGTTCTTTGCACTTCACACATGTGCAAATGCCTATAGACAGACCAAACATCTGTAGACTTTCTTTAAAGCGTAAGATGCTGTTAATTTTAATTAATATGACAGGACTAAAACCGAGTTGTTGCAAAAAGATGTTTTTAACCCTCTAACTGCCATGAGGACGCCGGTGTCCTGATGGACCCATTAACTGACATGTAAGTGTTTTGGGGGTGAAAATTAAGGCAAGAGTATAAGTATATTTTATAGGAGACTCTGGATAGATGTCCTTAACAATGTGTTTGTTTTACATTTAGGACATATGTGTTCCAATGCCAATTGTTTACATATAAATAATGAGCCCAGTCTTTAACATGGTGGGATAAAAAAAAAAAGCTGAACTAGCTATGATAAAATATAACTTGACTGAGTGAAACACATAGGTGCCATAGACCAATGCTCAAACATTTTTACAGTTCTCTGAATATCAACAAGTCCACTAAAAAGTAATGAACATGTGTGCAATAGATTCATCCAACCCAATCTTCTTCTGATATGTTTTTCTTTATGTGTCTTTTTTTTTTGTCTCTCTCTCTTTTTTATCTTTTTCAGTTCTGTCACACACTGACACCCACCACATAGCCTTCATTGCCAGCATGACTCACGCATTGGTCTGTTGCAGGACTTCTTCAGACATGCCAGATGTCTTATCGAGACGGAAAATGAAACAGTCACCCACTGCTCAAGACCTTCCGTGATGTCATCATGTCACATGACTCCACCAACAACTCTCCCCTGGCAGCAGTATTCTTTAATCAACTGTTGTTAAAGCTCAACCGCAGATTGCAGTTCCCTCTTTTTATATGAATGATGTGGTCTAATAAACCTACAAAAACTAAATCCATATTATTTATTTTTTTTTTAGATTTGTTAGAGTTAAATCTCGAAACCTGTGATGGAGGTGAAGCTCATTTGTAGGGGGCTTGCGTGATGTTAAGAGTAGAATTAAATTGAAGGTTAGTTCCTTCATAAAGGCAAAGCAAAGTGCGTGTGTTGTCACAAACAGCGATATGTAATACGTTCACACGGTGACCTGCTCCCCCACCGTGCGACATAATGAGCATATTCAGGACGACGCAGGGAGAACAGCTGCTGCTTGGAAGGTGGTGATGGTAGGAAGGCTGCTGTCTCACAATAAAACATGGCGCGCTGTGAGGATGAATGATGCAGAGTTGCGTTGATAAGGCTTAACCAACAGGTACCTGAGGATTCAGCAGTGCCTTAATGGTTGCCGGCAGCTTTATTGTGAGACTTCAAACAAGAATGCCTCACCATGCAATCCTCCTGCGTCACCGAGGGCAACCATGAATGCGCATGTGAAGAACATTACAGTATTCAGGGCTTTTGTTCAATCAGTTGACAAGAAAGCATGTCAGTGTAGAATTGCATGGTGATTACTAAAATACACCAAAACAGACCCGTTTTAAGTACAAAGCGTTTAATCAGGTTAAGCTGTCATCTGTTTTTCTTTTCATTGCTATTTTACTGTCAGTAATTTCAGATTGCCTGGACTAAAAACTTACCTTTAGGTTGATATAAAACATTTACTAGTTTAATGTGTCCTGGTGCAGGTCGGCTTATTAATAAATTTGATTTAACTTAACATTATGTCCAATCCTTTTCTTGCGTATGACATTAATATCACGCATCTCTTGATAATCATTGGGATTCTTCAAGTAATTAACCTCTGATTGAAGTTATTCTGTGCTGATGCTCTTGCAATAAATACTTTTCAAATTTAAATTTGTTTTAAAAGTCATCTCAAAATCCACAGGAAAACATCTCACCTAGCTTTCCTCCTCCATTTCTGTGTAAGCGGGTTTTTGGGCAGCAGCAGCTGTTTTATTGCTCATTTAATCACATTTCCCTTTCAAGAAAATCTACAAAGAGATTTAAATTTCATGTGCAAAGATCTAAATCAAGCATATTAGACACACGTAGAATAAAGGCAAGCTGACAAGAAGAGGCTTCAACGCTCTTCATCTTCATTCAGCCCCACTTCACGACGAGTGTGGTACGGAAAATCATCGATGATTTAATTATCCTCCTGCTAGTTCGGGAGTTTTTAAAATTAGATTCTGTTTAAGGCCCAGAAGAAGACATCTACTTGTTTTAAATAAACCTTTTCTTTATTTTGTATAAAACCAGATTAATAGGTTAATCTGAATCTAAATACTTATTCAAGATCCAAAGTAGATTTCTGTTGTATAAAAAGATATCTGACTCCAAAAATCACATACTGCTTTAAGAGAATGTCATTTTATGACTCTTTAAATCACTGCCAGGTTTCATTAAATGGGTATTGAAATGAAGGCTTGTGATTGGTCATGTTATTCACTTAAACTCAAATCATATAGAGAACCTTATAATTAACTATACCATTCTTTCTGTAAACAGGATCTATCAACTGATAGGCCTCTGGAACTTACCTGTCAAAGAAACAAAAGCTTCTAAAACATTTTATTAATATTTATTTGCTAAAAATTTATGTATTTCAGCTTTTCAAAAAGTTGAAATACTCAAAGATGTACTCTTTCTTTGTCTTTGACAAAGAATGTCAATTTCCCATTCATGTTTAAGCATGTCAGCTCCAAAAAATTGTTGGTGAGTTTAAGAAAGTAACAGTTTATAAGCAACACATTTCAGATAAGTACAAATCCCACTGTTACTGGTGGGCTTAATTCTGGAGATGTAAAATAAAAGCACATATTTTATATATTTAGAGATCAAATTTCCATATCAGCATGCAAACAAGTAATATGTTATACCTCCAGCAAAAGGTAACAAAAAAAACGTAAAGCTGGGCAATAGTCACATATCATACAATTAGAGTGGTTTAAATAATCATCATTTTATTGATTGCTGAAGTGCTTTGCTTTTTCATTTGATACTCAGACCAGAGACGTTTGTTTTGTTTTCAGTACTTGTTTCACACAGGAAGGTCACTGGTGGTGCAAAGACTCCAGTCTCCATTTCCATGTAAAAAAAATCATTGGCTGGCATCTAATTAACGATTGCACACGTGACAATGTCTTTGCACTGCATAAAATCACCCTCACAAAATGTAATATTGTTTCTTGACTTTACTCGTGTTGTTTTGAGATTGTAGACGTCTACCTCAGTCTTGACTTTTTTGGAATAGCTATTAACTTTAATATGTGTAAAAAAAAAAGAAAAAAAGAAAAAAGTATCTAATGGTAAAAGCTTTTCACAGAAAGTCTTCCAAAAAAAAAAAATAAAAAAAAATCCTTTTCTAATTATGTGGTAAATCAGCTTGCCATACAACGACCCACTGATGGATGGATCGCTGACGTGTGGAACAGCTCATCGCATCCAGCGGTCCACAGAGGAGGGCATGAGCTCTGCGCGGCACTCATCAGATATGAATTAAGGAAACATGAATCCTTTGCCCAGTCAGATAGGAAGATGCCTCGGACACACTGTGTGGATCCGCCATTTACGTGACCTGTCAGGCGCTACAACGAGCATCTCTCCTCCGGTCCACATCTGGAGCGGCGAGTCAGCTCAAAAGAACTGCCGTCTCACCTAAATAATCGTCTGTCTCCTGCCGGATTTGACACCTCACAGCTTTGTCTGGTGTTTCCTGTGCCACTGATTGAATTCCTCTCATGACTTGGGCAGCTCGGCGTTGAAAAGGGGAGGGAGAAAACGAGCAACGAACGCAGGATGCCCAATATCCGTTTGTTGTTGATGCAGCCTTTTAGCGTGTCAGTAATTACATGCGACTATGAAGAAACGGGGGATCACCGTGAAAATCTAATGGAGTAACAATGGAAGCACCTTTACTGGGTTGACATAATGGGTAAGGATTTATTCAGATTTGTTTATTATTATTATTATTATTATTATTATTATTATTATTATTATTATTACATAGAATCAGCATATCTTAATGTTTGGGACATGCATTCTGACAAAAGCCAATTTACACTTGCACAAGATATGAAAGACGGCATACTCTTCTTAGCTCTAACATGCTGAATACATGCAAACTGGAATAAATTTGAAATGTAAAATTATTTGATAGCAAATGTGTACCAAAAGCCTTTCTGGCCTGAAGTAGCAGCTACACTTCTGATAATATTTAAGTTCTCTGATCCAGAGCAAATACACGTCAATGCTTGTCAGACATCCTCAGTTGTTAAGCAGCAGAGAAGAAAGTATGTTTTTTTTTTTTTGTAAGAATTTAACAATTATGGGCTATTATTTACTTCAACACATTTGCTGTTTGTCTATCTCAATTAATTGTCTTTGAAATCCATCAATTAAATTGTAGAATTGATATTTAAAACTGGATTTTTACTAAGAACATCTTGGAGATTGGTTTATGATTTCAGGACTGCATTATCATGCTTTCTTACAGATTATGTAATGCAGGCTTTGGATGTCAGTCAGCACTACAATTTAAGTGCCAATCACTGATATGAAGCACACGGTGGTCACTGTTTACTGCTTGCATTTCTTGAGTTATAATATGTATATATATATTTTTTTTTATTACATGTGTGTTTATGGCTTCTCTTTGTTTTCAAAATATAAAGTAGAGTACTTCGCAAAAGTGATCAGACTCCTTGAACATCACAACTACAAAAAAAAACTTCAATGTTTTTTACTGAGCTTGTGATGGGCTAAAGCTAAATCGATGTAGCATGTAGTAATGAAGAGGGGGGGGGGGACAAGAAAAAGGATTCCGAGTTTTTATTTTATTCTATTTCCTACAGAAGAATGAAAATTCAATATTTTTCATTCTGACATTTCTTTGTTTTTTTTTTTTCTTTTTCCAGTATACCCCTAAATAAAATATAGTGCCATCAAATACCTTCAGGAGTCACCTAATCAGTAAATATATTTGTGTTTAGTTTATTTCCACTACAGACACAAATACTTCAAAGTTGTCTTAGAGAAAACTAGTGACCTTTTCAGAATGCACACTAAAAAGGTCTTAGACACTCAAAGCTGTGAATATCTAATGAGGAGAGCATCATTCAGAGAAGCAGCCAAGTGGCCAACAGGTGGTTCCACAAAGCATTTGCTCGGGAGGGATAAATACAAATGCATGACATACGTTTAAGATTTAAAGAAAATACAGCGTAATTTTCCCTCCACTTTATAATCACGTCCAACTTCTCGATGGCGTATCACGTACAATCACAGCAAAACACGCACAGAGTGTGAGGTTGCGACTTGCCATAATGTGGAAATGTTCACGGTGTATGAACACTTCTGCTGGGCTCTGTGGCAACACAGCAATGAATGATTAGTGTTCAGTGATGCATAAAATAAACTCCCAGGAAGGACACTGCAGTGGTTAGATGAAAGTATTATGAGCTCAGAGGATACATGTGTTATAGTCAGTTGCTGAAGTCTGTTTATGTTTTCATTCTGTGCCCATAAAGATAGAAGATAGACAAAAACAAGTCCCGGAGGTAACAACATGGTCATCACTGACAGGAGCAACAGCACCTCTGTGCCTAAAAAGGAGCCCAAGAAGAAGAAGAAGTCTCGTCCTCATGGCCTTCCCTCTCCGGCGCTCTGCTGTGCCTGTGGACTATGCATCATGTTGGCAGGACTCAACATCACCCTGGTGGGAGCATTCGCCTTCAGCACACTGGTGCCTTCTGCCAACCCTCCCATCATAATTGGGCCCGTCCTGCTGCTGGTGGCCTTCTCCTTCTTTGGCGCCTGCTGCGTGTGCAGCCGCCTCCCTCCCCCGAGCAGCTCTCGAGGCTCTAAGGTGGGCGGCAGAGGGGCGGGATTGATGGGACACGGCGGGCTGGCCGGTGGTGCGGCGTTCGAAATAGAGACCAGCGAGCACACACTGCAGGACACCACAGCTGTGCAGCTGAGCCCCACGTCCTCTGTTGGATCATCCAGGGCCTCCAGCCCGGAACGAGAGGCCCCTGGTGTGACCCCACAGGGACCTTGCAAGCTCTTCACCATGGAGACCAATGGCCCTTCCTGCACTTCTGCCACGGCAACGTACTCAGCTTCTGCAGCAGCGGGCGGGGAGGTGAGGCTCAATCTGCCACGAGAAGAAGTGGTCACCTAGCAAAAGCAGAAACACCTTCATAAAATCCAGAGCTCTAGTCGTGTGTACATACGCTTCTGAGTTTGGTTGCTGGGACCGACTGTGTCCTCTTGTTCACGTAATGCCATATAAATTTGTGAAGAGTGTGGTTTTGATTTCTCTGTCTGTGCGACACGTCGTTAGCATGCAATGTTGAACACACGTCGGCGTACTTGTGAATTGAAGCTTTTGGAATTCCGAATTCCTACCTCTTTTGTGCTGTTCCCTTATAAATTTGTTTAAATCCAGGGCATTATGAACAATTTCAATGCAGAAATGAAGCAGGAGACTTTTTTTTTTTCTCCGCACCTGTAGTCACCGCTGACCTCGACTGTCTGCGGAGATTTCAGAGTGTTTGAGAGAAAACTTGGATCACATTTTTAATCTGGAATTACATGTGAAAGGGCAGAATCTGGCATTTGCTGAATTGCTGAACTTATTTTAGGAGCATACGATTTTATAGGCCAAAGGGGTCCCAAAGCAACATTCTCCGAACAGAGACTAATTTCTAGTCACAAGACCTTTAGCAAGTATATTTGCAGTACATTAACTCAGTGCTAAACGGTGCATATTGTCAAATCTTTGGAAGCATAATTCTTGTAGCTTTTGTCATCACAACAGCTAACACTGTGAGTGCCGTGTTTCTTTTCATTATCCAGACCTTGTGATAACGTTTATCTGTTGTTAAATTTATCGTGGGGCTCGATTTACACTTGCTTGAACCCATGACGTTCACCTCACCGTTATGTACTATTTACGACGTTGCAAAACCAGGTTTATTGGAGTATAACATCTGAGATTACATCTGCTCCCAATCACTGTGATGTCTTCTTATCAGCCATAAGTCTGTGTGATCACAGGAGACGTTAAACCCCTGATTTCCTTTGAAAGGAAAGTTGCCTTAGACGAAAATTTCAGGATCAGTTCAATGAGGGCTAATCGAAATGTGCAAACTGCAGTTTCCCAAGAAAACCTCTATGTTGCTCTGGACTCAGAATTTTTTTTTTTTTTTTGTGGTGCATGCCAACGGCCTAAATGTTTCCTTTAAGATGTGTATTTGGAGTAGCGACAGTGTACACGCAATCAAAGCCAACTAGATCATAAACGACTGTAACATTGTCTCTCAAAATGACTTGTTCCCCCCCCTTGATAAAGATCAGTTTCATACCAAGTTAGAGCGCTGAACTTGTGTTTTTTTGTGTGCATGCTCTGGAAAAACAAAAGACTTGAAGATGCAAATATTCTCGTGAATTGTCAGTGTTTTGTCTGTGGTTTTATTTCGCGTATCATAAGAACCTGCTGAAAAAAAAAACTGTAAAGGACGAAACTATTTTTGTGAAGTTTATAATTTAAAATAACTATTCCAAATGTGAATCGCATAAAAGAAATAAATAAAAGAGCTCTTTCAGTAAAATTCCAGGTATACATGTGTGACGTATCACTGAAAACTCATTGAGACTGCTCTACTTTCGATGTGAAATGAGGTCCAACTGGACATTATTTTTCATAGTGGAGAAAACAATTACAATGCATCTTAAGAAATATATTTCAGATGGGCCAGTTGACATAAAATGCATACTAGATGTCAGTAATAGCAACAAGTATGTTGCTTTTTTTTTATCCATACATAAAAAAAGATCAACTCACATTTCTTTCCATAAATTATGTTCAAAACGTGGAATGGTCTGAATCAGTTTACCAAATTTATTCAAACCCAGCGAAGGTTTTTCTTGACTGTGTGTTTGCGATTATTGTCTCTTACTTAAATATTCACTCTACTTAACATGTTTAGATTCTCATCAAGAATATTCCACTTCATTTCTTCATTCATCATTAGTTGAATTGTATGACACTGAGTGCGACAACATTCAAAATGAGTTACTAGGGAAATCTCATTTGACGTGGCGGTGTTCTGTCCTGTGTTTTAATGGCTTCTCCAAAGGTTTTGCAACAAGCTTTACATGAGCTGTAAAATGAAAGTTGATCTATACAACTTGTCAACTTTTCCCAATCAATTTTATGGCAAATTGATTCTTTATCTTAATGATTTAGCGCTGTTTGACATTTCTGGTGCTAAAAGCCAAGGCAGGCTGGCTGAAAATGTGGCGCGAAGGACAAGAAATCTTGTCTCCTCTATAAACACATTAAATCAAGATGGCCTTGAGCAAAGAGTGCAACATGAGCTCCATCTGGCTTTTCTGGAGCGTTTAAGCGGTAGGACAAAATACTGCCACCAGAGGGCGCTAATGTCACATCTTTGAGCAGCAACGAACGTTGCGTAACTTGCCTGCATTTTCCAACCTGCAGAGAAATACCAGTAAATCAGAACAAGTGCTTACTGGAAATTAATGAGGCTGAATCTGTGCTGGAGGACATATTGTGATTGAAAGAAAATATCTCTGAGCCAATTCTTTTCTTACAAGTGTTTTTTTTTTTTTAATCATTACAGAGGTGTTTACACAATGTGTACAATTTAAAACATGACAGTGAAGCTTCACCTGGAATTAAACCAGTTCCCTGCCCTAAGATGGTTGTGAAGATAAAGGTCTTCTTTCCACATGAAATGGTGAAGGCAGAGAATTTCCTGGTGCCCTAGTTAAAATGACTCAGGAAAAAAAATGGAGTAGGAGAGCTTTTCTCATGCTTAATATTTTCCCTCTATCTCTTCCTCTAAAGTCTATGTTGCAAATATTCTCATACCCCTTTTACATTTACTCTAATGCATATTATTTAAAAAGCGAGAAATCCAAACAAGACAGCACATATTTACATATGATAATATGTAATATTTGAGCTGTTTCCCAGCTCAGCTTCACCATGTCGGTATTTAGCTATAAAATTCATATTTAAATAAAAAGATGAATTTTTTGTTTTTTCTTCGTCTAATAGAAACCTCAGAACTTCTATTAGACGCATATGGTATAAGTTCTTTTTCTCCTAAATAAAATTAAGTGAAACCAGTTGCCTTGAAATGAAAAATACAAATATAGATAAGATTGGCAAGAAGAAAATCCTTGTTAAAATAAGACTTAAGATTAAAGTTTTGTACAAGCAACACAAGAGCCACAACATGTGAAATAAGTTTCTCAAATTAGATGAAACAATAATTAAACTTTTTAGTCTAGATGCAAACTGCCATGTAGGGTGAAAATCTACCAATGCACATCTCCCTGAATGAAGGATCCCCACTATGAAACATGGTTGGTCCAGCATCATACTGTGGGGATGCTTTGTTTAAAAGGGGCATAGGATAGAGATGGAGAAAAATACAGGATGATCCTAAAAAAAAACACCTGTTTCAGATTGTACAACAACTCGGCTTAACTTTTCAGTAGACAACTATCCTACACTTACAACCAGAGCGACATTCTAAGGGTTTAGATTAAAACATAGTCCTGAGACTTGATCAAAATCCAGACCTAAGTTGACTTTGAGGGGCATGGATACAACTGCACTGCACACTTTCACATTTGATTTCGTAAAATATAGTGAACTCTGTATCCTTAGCAGTCCACTTGACAGTTGTCCAAAACCTTGTCCTGGTTCATCAGATAAAACACCAATAAAAGACGTTTTAATATGAGGTTATGACATGTGAAAGTTCAAGGGGGGTACCTTGGCAAGGCACTGTAAATCCATGCACAAGAAGTGAGAACAATTGATTTTAAAATAGGATTTTATAATCTTGACACAAATGCAGTTTATTTGCGTTTCTTGTCCAAAATGTGGTCAAAGTAGAGTCAGAAAGCAGATGGTGGGTTGAGGTTTACCTGTGACTGCAGGAGCCAGGAAAAAAACTCAGCCAAGACACAGATAGTGTCATGTGTCCACTTCATTTATCGGGGTTTTATTTGACTATGCTGTGTCAGAAAATATTTATTTCTTGGAAAGTCATCAATCCACCCACTTCCTGCTGTAAACTGCTTTTATGTTTCATTGTAAGTCCCAGATCCAATAGACCCCTCCTGTGGGACGCTTGCCAAACACTGTCCTATGTCCTCTGCCTCTCAGTCTCGAATGAACAGATTGTAAAACACAGCAAAGGTTTAGCCATCTTGATGCTGGAGAGTTTACTCCCTACGGCGTTAAGTGGAGCATTTTTATGTTTATGGTTTTGGTGGGCAAAGATCAGGGAGCTGTGCCATGATGTAGTTTAGCTTAATTATCACAAAATGAAGGACAGATGGATGTCACGCTTTAGCATTCCAGGGCACGCAAATCGTCAAAGCATTCTTTCAAGAGACAACAATGGGGTTTTATAGTTCTATGGGACGGGAATGCAGACTTCCTTATTACCGGCTGTGATATACAAATTCTGAAGAACTTATTTGGCGCACCTGCATGATGGCACAGGGTGGGTAATTAAAAATGGTTTCAACAGATGCAACCTTTTTTTTTTGTTTGTTTATTCTTTGCACCACAGCAATATTCCCAATGCTAGGTGGAGCTGGTCAGCAAATTAAAAGAACATGCCGTACTTTGCCAAAGTGGTGACACATGCTGAACCTTCCCACACGTTGTAATGGTGACATAACACACATTATTTTAAATGAATTGGACTAGAGCTACAGCACAAACAGACTATGCAAAACTAAAGAAATATTTCAAAACACAGCAAATGGTTCAACGCAGAGGTGGAGTTATGGCGACATGGAAGTAGCACAGCTGATATTACGTAGTTCCACACAGATGTGGATGTAGCTGATCTTAAGCCCCTTAAGATCAGTGTGTCTCCATTAGCAGTGTGTTCCTCATTATTGTGAGTGTGAGTAATAGTGGGAACCTGGGAGCACGGGCAGGAAGTGAGCACGCAGGAGCTGTAGTTAATGGTCCGATTATGTCATTTGCAGCAACATGATGGTGCAAACGATAGGTGGGTTGCTGGTTTGATTCTGACTCTATCTGCCTGTGCGTTGTGTTCTTGGGCAAGACACTTCACCCACCTTGCCTGGTGGTGGTCAGAGAGCCAAGCGGAGACGGCTTGTGAATGTGTGAGTGAACGGGTGAATGACTAAATAACTAAATGCAGTGTGAAGCGCTTTGGGGTCCTCCGGACTTGGCAAAGTGTTTTTACCATTCTACACTCAGCAAAGCAGAATCTTGACAATTTGGACTTGACATGGACTCAAATGAACCCAAATATTCCATTTTTCTTTAAAGACCAACACGGTCCTCTTTATGTCATCCTTTAGATTTCCTCCAATGACTCCTCCCTGTTTGTAGATATATTTTCCACACATGCTCGCAGTGCTTTGTGTTAATCTGTCACATAAAACTCCAGAACAGTACACTTAAGTCTTTAGATGTAATGTGGCAAAATATGAAAAAAAGTTCATTTGATAAGAATACTTTTACAAAGCAATTTAAAAATATGGTAATTTTCTATCAACATCAAAAAGCTGCACAGTTTGAAAGATGTAAAGACCTGCCATCAGGCAAAGTAACTGCTGACACAATTTTATCTGCCTGTTACATCTGCAAGTTAGTAATGCAATATAGAAATGTTTCTAGTTTTAGCCAAATTCTCTGAGTGTCAGGACCCTCCACATTGCCATGCGTACGTCCATATAAGTGTCTCTACTCATCCACACAAATGTTAGCGTGTAAGAGTGATTCAGACAGCGTGTGCCACAAAACCTCCACGCATTACGTATGGAATCCCAGATACATACTCTCAAATGCATCCACCGCAAGTCGTCTTCACCACTGTCCCACACATATGCTGAAAAGACACACAAACACTGACACCTGCACTTGTGCATCAAAATCCGCTCCAAACCGGAGCACGGCGGATTCAGATGCTCCGTTCATGTGCTCCTGTGCTGATGTGCTTGTGCGCGGGAACACTGAATGGAATGAGTCGGCAGAAGAAGGGAGGGGGCTGCAGGGTGCAATCAAGCTGAAAAGATTAGGGGAAGACGAGCTGCTGAGGATCTATGAGAACAGACACTGGTTATATAACTCCAACCCAGTTCAGTCCGCTTCTAAAGAGAGACTGGGTGGTAGAGCAGAGGAGCATGTATGGGACAGGGTGACTCCCTGGGCTCAGACTCAACTGAACAAGGCCATCAATTAGCTGCGTTTACTGTGGGTTTCAAACACTTCATTACACACACATTCTCCAGGTCAGCAAGGATGTTAAAGAGTGTACAACAAATAAGCGAGTAAGCATGTGTTCAGGTTGTGTTGCATTTTGCAACCCTGCAGCGGATGTGTTTACTCGGCAATGCTTGCCATCTACCTTTGGACACCTGATTTGATCAGAAAACACACAAAGCTGGCTTAGTTCTACGGGGTACTGGGGTTGTTTTGGTTAACTCTGTGTGCCAGGTACAGACTGGACTTGCAACTGCAGGACTCGTTTAGCCAGTGTCC